GGTCGGCCGGCGGGATCGCGACCCTGGGCGTGGTGACCGCACCTCGCTCAGCCAGTGAGCGGGAACCGGTCTGTATGTGGGATCCGAACCCTCGGCGGGAGCGCCCCAAGCGGTGCACTGTAGCAGTGCGCCACCGGGCCGGCCCGTCTTCTTTTAAAAAGCCTATTGTTACAGTGACATTATATTATGACCACCTTAAACAAAAACCATTTCAAAAGAAAATAATAATTTCTAATTCTAGTTCCTTAACATGGCATACCCATGTGTTTGTCCTATCGCATGTACACACACACACGTGTCATGTACCCATTTTCCTGTCACCCATGTGAAAAGTCTTGGGTCAGCTCGCACACCCTTTTTGCTCCTGATGTCTTGTCATGGATAGAAGGAAAGGGGGCTGTGGAGCCAAGCACACCTGAATATGAATCCTGGCTCCACCACATCCTGTGTGACCTTAGGCAAGACCCTCATTTGTCTGTTGGTCCATCCATCTATCCATCTGTCTTCCCAACCTCCCTTTCTCTCTCCCATTTACAAATACTCAGTGTATGTTTACAACATGCTAGATGCTGGGGATTTGTACAATGTTTCCTCATCCATAAAAAGTGAACATTGAAGCATATTAAATAGTGTTATGACAATTCAATTTGATAACACATGTGAAGGGACCCAACAAGGCATCTGGCACACAGTAGGATGCTCAGTAAATGGTGTTCTGTGGTCAGCAAGTCTCAGCAGTTCTTCTGCCATTTCTCTGGCATCTGTTACTTCCGTTTCTCGGCAGCCTGAATAACGATGTGCAGTTACCCTCATACCTAGACTATGCAAGAGGCTTCTAACTGGGCCGTATGGCCCCAAATCTCTTTTTAAAAATTCTTCCTGACACCACCATTTGCACTTCCAAAACATTAATTTGGCTGTGTTCCTTTTTGTTCAAACCTTTCAGTAGCTTCCAATAGCTATCAAAAATGTTCTGAATTTCTTGCCAGCCGCTCCAAGCTGTCTGTGTCCTCCCTCAGTGCTTGGTCAGTGCTTGGGCTCTTAGCTCTCGGCAAGCTGCCACCCTCTTCCTCCTGCTGAAGTGACTCTCCCTCTTTGGTGTTCTGTGTCTGCTAACACATGTGCAGGGAGTAGCATTCCCATTGGCGAGAGAAGGAAGATAGCACATGAGCCAAGAATTTGGGAAGGTCTAGCCTTCCTTGTACAGTATCTTAATCTGTTTGTGCTGCTAACAGAATACCTGAAACTGGGTAATTTATAAAAAACAGATTTATTTTATCAGTTCTGGAGGCTGGGAAGCCCAAGACTAAGACACCAGAATCTGGCAAGGGCCTCCTTGCTGCATCCTCCTGAGGGGAGGAACAACATGTCCTCACGTGGCAGAAGGACAAAGAGAAAAAAGGTGGCCAAATTCAGCCTTTTATAAAGACATTAAATCCAATCACCACCCAAAGGCTCTACCTTGCAACACTGCTACGATGGGAATCAAATTTCAAATGAGTTTTAGAGGGGACGAACATTCAAACCATACCACGCAGTAAAAACTTATGACTTACCCAGTATTTCTGAGGTTTATTGTTTTTTAGCATGTTGTTATCCAACAAAGAACCATAGTAGATGGTGCCCTTTGGAGCTAGACTTTGAACTTTCAATGAAAGTCTAGGTAATTAATTTTTTTTTTATCCTCCACGTAATGCCATCCATAAAAACCTCTTAGGGAATTACTTATTAAATTCTATAACAATTAAAATTATTTTGTTGATTCATCTTCAGGATTATTTATCAAAACCATGTTGAGCTTGGAAAATATTTGCTGTGTAGTGGATTTTGCCAGATTTGCCGGGACTCCCCTAAATGGTGACAGCATCTGCAGCAAACAGGCAGACACAAGGTGTTAGGGTGTTCCGCAACTTTTTTTCACTTCAAAGGACTGGTTTTTGTAGATTGCGTTTGTATCTTAATGAGTTTCTTAAATTCAGAATTCTGCTGAGGAAGTGCTGTAACCTACATTTTGAGATATTCATATATTATTTATGATCAGTGATTCTCTTTGTATTTATATTTTATTTCACCTACCGAGTATAACGTTTATATACATTTATATGCATATGTGTGTGTGCATTTGCATGTGTGCTTGAGTGCATGTTGGTATAGGACCGTGCAGCATACTTTAAACTTTGGTTTCTGGTTTATTCCCAGGGATACTGTCTTATAATCTCTGGCTCTTCTCTCTCTCAACTTTAGAGCATAGGAGCTGCAGTTTCGCTACCCTTGGCCCCCATCAGTACTGGAATTTTAATGACTATTATTTATGAGTCCAATCAATACCAAATGTTGCTGATTATTGAATAGAATACCTTCTGATTACTGTTGATAAGTTTCTATCTGTAGTGAAATTAAATTGACTTCCAATAGCAAATAACCCTGCTTAGAAAACATAGCATGTATGTTAAATCTGGACTATTCTAATTTTAGTTTTCTTTTCTTTCCACCAGTTTGCTGTTTTGTGGTTCACAAGAGGTGCCATGAATTTGTTACTTTTTCCTGTCCAGGTGCGGACAAGGGACCTGACACCGATGTGAGTAGTCTGGAAACCATTATTTGATGTTAATACAAATTTCTGAGCTTTAATTTTTATGATGACTATTAATGGGAAGATTTCTGAATTAGTCTTATATAACTTTGGCTTGTACTTATGAACATATCTATAGTTCTTCTGAGTCCTGGGCTACTTAGGAAAATTCTCAGAAGAATTTCTTGTTAGCTTGTACTCTTCTACTCTGGGCTGCCACATTGACTAAATCCACCAAATTTATAGCAATAGCTTTCATAAACACAATTGGTTGTTCTCTAAAAATGTTGACAAATTTTACAATGAACATAAGTCACCCTTCAGTTTATTTCTAAAGGTTTATTAACTTACAAGACTGTCATTGCTTTTGGCCGATATGAGAAACTGCTCTGAGTTTTCCTCATGAAATTCTTGCTGCTTTTTCATTATGTATTATAAATGCTACCATTGCTTGAAATAATTTAGCGTCTGTTTCACTGGACAGTGATCTCTGAAGGTGCCCATGTAAGAACAAATCATTCGTTTATAACTCTGCCTGTCTCTGTTGGGCGTCTCTGTTGCGTCTCGTTTACTGCAGAACAAGATCAGCCAAGGAGAGCAGAGTTAGAAGATGTGGGAAACACCAAGGCCCACAATATATTGGGTGGAAAGAAACTTGGGCTGTTACACGAAAAGTAACATTTTAACTGAAAAAACAAATCTGCAGGGTAGGCCTGCAAAAGAAGACATTTCCATTCTGAATTGCTTTTGTCAGATCAGTTCAGTCACTCATACTTAAGTGATGTGCTTCCTTAAAGGGAAATCTATAAGGCTCGTTCCTATCAGGAGACTTAGATTTTGAAGCAGCTTTCTCAGTGCAGGTAGGGCTAAATTCTTCCCTTCTCAGAAGATGCCATTTCCACACCGGGCTCTCAGGGATTTGAGTTGTAACATGCGTGATGAAGGGACTTGCCGTTTGACACTCCACATGGGGAACATGCCACTATTTGGTCAAGATGCTGGCTGAGGCAGCATAGAGTATGTGCCGTGGGTTCTGAGCCACTGCAGGCTCCACAAAGGCTCACAGAATGAGGGAGCCAGAGGAAACTTCAGAGGTCATCTTGTTTTATATCTTCCTGGATGAGGAAGTCCAAATCCATGAATATTGAGTGACTTGCCTACATACAAACAAAACTGGTTAGTATCATTCCCTTACCCCCCACCCTCACACTTTACATACTTTCCTTTTTTCTGGAATATTGTCTCCCTTTTGGGCATTTTTGAGATAAAAATAGATGGAATGTAGAGTAACAACTTTCCTTAAAAGTCAAAGTCCCAATATTCTTGTTTGGAAATTGTCCTGAAGCCTCTTGTGGAGGTCCCTCTGCTCTTTGTTCCCATCCTCTTCCTCCCATTTTATCTGTCCTCATCTCCCTTCTTCTCCTCCCATTTCTTTTTTTTTTTTTTTCCTTTTTGTCTTTTTTCATGTCCGGCAACGGATCACAACCCTCAGTGTCGCGCCCGTACCGGACCGGGACCAGCAACGGGATTGCAACCCTCGGTGCTGCGCCCACACCTCGCTCAGCCAGTGAGCGGGAACTGGTCTGTATGTGGGATCCGAACCCTCGGCGGGAGCGCCACTGCGCTCCCAAGCGGCGCACTGTAGCAGTGCGCCACCGGGCCGGCCTTCTCTTCCCATTTCTGCCCCATGAAGAATGGGAGGAGTGGGCAGGCTGCAGGAGTGTGAATAGTTTCTATGGGAGACCTTCCTCTTCCCTTTTTCTCCTCCCACTTTTTCATTCTTTCAGTTAAGTATTCTTTATTGAGAATCTCTAATGGGCCAAACTCTGTGCCGGGCCCTGAAGCACAACCATAAACACAGAGATGTCCTCCTTGCCTTGTGGACATTCTGCTGGGGGGAAGTTGGCATTAAAAGTTGATAATTAAAATAGAATACAGGCACACTGAGCAGGCATACCTTAGGGTCCTACTCTGGATGGTCAGGGAAGGCATCCCCGAGGAAATGGCATTTAAACTGAGCTTCATGAATGGATAGTGTTGTGGATTGACTGTCCCCCAACCCACAACTCGTTGAAGCTTAAATTGTGTCCCCCAAAGTTCCAGTCATTGAATAATTGGTCCCCACTGTGATAGTTAGGAGAGTAGGAAATCCTATTATGGTAATTGAAAGGTGGGCCTTGAAGAGGTCACTAAATTGTAGGACCATGCCTAGTGAATGTATTAAAAATGATGGTCAGGGGTGTGGTTCTGAGGGCTTTAAAAGGCGAGCACATGAGAGTCTCTCTCTTTCTGCTCTGCCCTTTCCTGCTGTGTGAGACCCCTGCATTGCTATAAAGCCACCACCAAAGAAGCACCAGATGTGTTCCCTGAACTTTGGACTTCCCAGCCTCCAAAGCTGTAAGCAATAAATTTTGGTTTCTTACAAATAACCCAGTTCCAGGAATTTTGTTATAATCAACAGAAACAGACTTAATACAGATAGAAAATAATCAGGCAAAAGGAGTATGTGTGTGTGTGTGAGTGTGTGTGTGTGTGTCTATGTGTGTGTGAGAGAGGGAGAGAGAGTGTGTGTGTGTGTGTACACATGCATAAAGAGCCCTGGAAAAGACTTTCAGAAAAAGCAAAGAGCAAGTGAGAAAGCTAAGGTGTAGGAAGCAGCTCCATCTATGAGAGAGACTGAGAAGGTTGGCATTGTGTGTCTGGTTAAGGATGTTGGACACAATCTTAGGAGCAGTGGGGACCCAGGGAAAGGTTTTAAACTAGGAATGTTGTGAGCCCATCTGTACCTTGTAAAGGTTATTCTGGTTGCCTGTAGGAAATGGATTGGGTAGGAAGTGGGCTTGGTGTACTGGTAGAGATGGGGAAATACCAAAGGCTGGACCTGCGCAGAGGTGCCTGCACTCACGGCAGGGCGATGGGAGCTTGGAGCAGGTGCAGGCAAGGGGGATGGACAGAGTGAACTCTTCAAAGTACATTTAGGAGCCAAATTGGCAGTTCTTGGGCATTGTGAGATCAGGGATATGGAGATATTGGGATTCACTCCCAGGATTCTGGCCCAAACACATGAATGGATGGAACACATGAGATTCTGGAGGGAGGACAAGTATTTAGGAGAGTGGGATGGGGCAGATAAAAGGTTTCACTTTGGACATTGTCTTAGTCCATTACTACTGCAATAAAAAAAAAATACCATAGACTAGGTAATTTATAAATAATAGAAATTATTTTAATAATTTAATAGAAATAATAGAATTATTCAGATTCAGAGTCTGGTGAGAGCTGCTCTCTGCTTCTGCTTCCACGATGGTGCCTTGTTGCTGTGTCCTTACATGATGGAAGGAGGTAGGACTAAAAGGGACAAAAGGGATGAACACTCCCTTGAGCCTCTTTTGTTTGTGGCTGGCTGGTACGGAGAACACTTGACCTTGGTGTTAACAACACCACACTCTAACCAATGAGCCCTCAAGCCTCTTTTGGAAGGAGCTAATCCCATTCATCAGGGCAGAGTGAATCATCTCTTAAAGATCCCACCTCTTAATACTATCGCACTGTCAGTGGAGTTTCAACATGAATTTTGGGGGACATGTTCCAACCATAGCAGACATGTTCAATTTGAGAAGTCTGACCCTGAGAAGATAGTTGTGTGTAGATAGATGCAGATATAGATAGAGGTCAGAAATGGGGTATGTCCTGAATGTAAAGGGTATTTTTTTGTTGTTTGTTTTATTAAAACCTTGGGAGTGGATCATCTTGCCTAGACAGATGACACAGAATGAGGAGAGAAGGAATTAGCTCCCAGGAAAGAGTGCTAAGGAACTCCACCGGCTTGGCTGGGAGAGGAAAGTCAGGGAGGAAGACCAAGGAGGAGTGGCCAGAGCAGCAGAGGAAAACCAGGAGAGTATGTTTGATGCTGATTTGATGATTTCCTAAAGGAGCTGTAGGCCAACTCTCTCTGATCATATCTGTGAATTTGTTATGAATTCTCTGTAAATGTTTGATGTCGCTCATAAATAAGTAACATACAGTTTGCAAAGGACAGTCTTGTTTACATGAAAAGTCTTGGTTATGCCAACTATCAGTCAATTAATGCCTGTTAATTTTCAGCAGCCCCTTTCATGCTCAGATTTTTTTCTGTTCGAATGATCCTTACATGGTCACCCTCCTCATAAGGCCTGGAGCCACGTAGAAAAGCTTCAGTGAAGAAATACTTGGTGTGGAATATAGTGGGAGGCACACATGTGATCTGATATTCAGCTATGTTCTGTTCCTACTCATTTTTGTGTGGTGTTGACTTGCTGTAGACACCGAGCCTTAAATTTTAATATCCTTGAAAGTGAAAATGATGAGATTTTTTTTTTACATATGTGAGACAAAGAGAAGGGTGTGAGATATTAACAAGGTACAGAGAATCAGCCCGTCCTGCCTGTGTGATTCACAAAGGATAGTGCATTCACTTCCAAGGAGAAAATTTGCTTTTGGTCTTTGGAGCTAAGACACCTATGTTTAGGGCTTTCTGCAGCCAGGGCATGAGAAGTGTCATCTGGCTATGTGCAGGGTGATTTTACTTACTGTACAAATCTGCAAGTAAGTCTTAGAAAGGCACAAGATGGTCAAACTGATCTGTACCAGGGAGATGGAGGAAAAGCATGATGGCGTCAGGAGACAGAGCTGAGCTGAGATGGTAGGAACTTCTTGTCTTTGTCCTTTTCTGTATATATCTTAAAATTGCAGAATTATCTAGCCAGGAGGAGTGTTAAAGATTTAATCTAGGTTTACCTTATTTTGTAGATGAGGAAACTGAGGCATATTGAAGAAAGGCATAAATGATCTAGAGCATGGTCAGATGTTGTGGCTTGAGTATCCAGTGCTTTTGTTGTTGACTTTCAAAGGAGTTAGCCATAAAGGGAGAGAGAGAGAGATTGGTGGCTTGGTTGGGTTGTGCTGTTGGTTGGGCACATTGATAGCTACTACTACCTGGTACACTCATTGAAAGTTCTGTTCAAATGTTTAGAAAAGTGCTAGAGGGCGTGAGA